ATACAGCTGAAAGCTGAGGTTGGCGGCCAGGGCCTTGCTGGGTACGCTCAGCCCAGCGCTGACTGGAAGACGCATCTCTTTGGGAAAGAAACCCGACCTGAGTTTCTCTTTCCCCACACCCTGACTAGCATCTCCAAACCCTCTTGCCAAACTTGTGCTGGCGAGGAGGGGTGAAATTGTTGTTTATTTTTGAAATTGCCCCAAATGCTGACAATTTTATTTGGGGGGGAGGTGGGTTAAAAAAATTACTTTAAAAAAAAAGGAAAAAAAAAAAAAAGCCAATGTTTGCCCTAAAAAGCATCTCCCAGGAGCTGTAGCCTGGGAGTGGGAAATGCCCAACGAGCAGCACCTTGCTCTCACCCAGCGCTTGCTTTTGTGCTGCTGCGATTCCCATGGCAGCTTTTTTTTTTTTTCCCCATCTGAATTTCCTCGAGCTGACAGAGCCTCCTGGCCGGCGACACACCACCCGGCACCCGCTGGGACTGCGGGGCATTCAAGGAGCAAAAAGCAACTCGGGGCCTTGCTTTCTGCCACAGCGCTGCATTCAGGCAGAGCGTCGATGCCGCAGGTTTGGACTGGCGAACTTGTTATAAAGGAAGGGGTGGGGGGAAAGAAAAAAAGAGAGAAGAAAAGGGGGAATGGAAAAACCTGACAGACGCTGACAGCTGCCCTCATCCCTTGCTCAAAAAATAAAATTAGAAGAGCTTTCGCCTTTGTGTTGCAGCTACGGGCTCGTGTCGGCACGGGGATAAAGTGCCGGTGGTGGGTCGGTGGGCCAAATAAATCAGTGCACACGGGTTGCCCGCGTTTGCGGCCAAGGCCAGGCAGAGCAGGGGAATGGGAGAGGCCACAAAGAATAAGAATCCAGCAAATTGACTTTTCCTATAATTTGATTAAATAGCGGGAGCTGGGATGGGGAATGGAGTGAAGCACGTCTAATAGCCCCGCACCATCTGCCAGCGCCTGGCACCTGGCCAGCGCGCAAGGCAGCTGTGCGGCAGTGGAGCCGGCGGGGGGGGGCAGCCAAGGCGG